GTCATGTGCAGCCTGGTGTGCAGCTCATGAGGAAGCTTCTGGGATTTTGAGGCCGTGAGTCATAAATCTAGAAGGTGGGAATGGTGATCTGACAGATCCTTCACATCATTTTCCACCCACCCTGCCCTCCTGGGGATGTGCTGCTCCCAGTTGGACTGCACCACGCCGTGTCTGGCCAACCTCCGCTGTCCCTATCGAACTGGTGACACCGAGGTCATGCAGCACCACAGCTCCCGTCCCTTCAAGCCCAGCCCCATCCCCCTGCATGGCAGTGGCCAGAGAGATGCTTGAAGGAACACATCAGTGGGGTTAGTCCAGTGTGGTGCACAGGGAGACTGGGCCTGTCCTGCACTGGAAAGTACCTCAGCGCATGGTGGGCACAGGGAGTGACATGACGTGTCACAGCCCATGCAGCATGTGGAAACCATTTACAACCTGACGTGAAAATAATATGTTTCTGTTTACTGTGCTTGAGTAAGAGGATGAAAACACGGTGCCCAGTTGGGCTGGGAGGGTCCCGGCTCGGAACGTGGCTCAGGGTGTATTGGTCCATATGGCTGGCTGTGGAGGCGTGAGGGCAGCGATGGGGAGCAGGGATGGAGGGGGAGAAGCCACGTGGCCTGGATGAGCAGACTGGTGTAAGGACAGCGGAGTCTGGCACTGGGGAGTCCCACAGAGCTGTTACCCAGTTGAGGGCTGGGATGGTGGGTTTGCTGCTGCTCGGAAGGTCCTGCTGGTGTGGGCTGAGCACCACGGTGTCGCGCAGCGCTGGGACATGTGATGAGTATCTTGTGTGGGTACCTGTGTCCAAGTGTTCCCTGGTTTTGAGAAGGGGGTAGGATCACTAGAGAGCTGCAGTTGCTGTGGAGTTGGAGGGCCACGCTCCCCCTTCCAGTAATTACCCAGCAATTTCTTCTGCACATGAGGTTTTACATACAAGAAAAATAAACAGATGTTGCTGAAGTCAGAGTCCCATTCATCATTCGAAAAGAACAAGTCAAACTATATGAGAAAGTCCTTCAACTCAAGCCAAGACAATCACAGCCTGGTCCAGCTTGTGGAGCGAGCGCTGGGCTGTGCAGGCGCATCCTGGGAGTGGGGCGAGTGCCAGTCCCGCTCAGCCATCCTCTCATCCATCCCTTGTTGGTGCTTCATCTTCACTGCTGGAGAGGACAGGCACAGCATGGGCTGCAGCAGGGACCCCAGTGAGGAATGAGGGACCCTGGCTCTGGTCACTCTCTCTGCAGGCTGTGTAGCAGTGTGAGCGTGGCTGGGCTCACCCTGACAATGTGCTTGGCAAGTGGGAGGTCAGTGCCCCCTGGGGCATCCGTCTTAGTGTGGTTTCTGCTCAAGCATGGTCACCCTAAGGCCATGGGGGTGGTTCTGCTTCTGCTGCTGCTCTGGGACCCAGGAGGAAGAGGAGGTCAGGGTGCTGGGAGGATTTGAGGTCAGGGAAAGGAGCAAAGAGCCCATCGAAATGCTCTGAGCAAATGAAGCAAAAACAGGGTCACAGGGAGCAGCGTGGGGCAGGGGTGGTGGATGTCGGTGAGCCCAGCAGAGACAGGGTCCACTCTGAGCCTCTCCCTGGAGGATGAGACCAAGCGGTGACCATGAGCCAGGGCCAGTGGGACATCAGTGCTTGCCTTCACACACCACCTTGACATCCCTCTTCCTGCTGCTGTCTCCCCTTCCCTTATTCTCTGTGGCTTCCACCACTTGCTGAGATTTTCCTAATTCAAGAGTAAACTCTTCAGGGCTGGTGGTGTCTCCTTCCCAGTGTGTTGAGAGGCTTGGCAGCCCAGGGCAGCCCCCGAGGGGCAGTGCTGGCTCTGCTCTTTTTACTCCCACTTGCAGCAAGGGATGCTGTGGGACCCTCACACTGTGGTGCCACCAGATGTGCTGTCCCCCAGCTGAGCAGCTGCTGCACACGGGGGTGGCAGGTGAGTTTCTGACCTGTGGCTCTGTTGCAGGCAATGGGATCACGCTGGAGGGGGCCGTGCCCTCGGAGCAGGACAGCCAGCCGAAGCCAGCCAAGAGAGCTCGCACCTCCTTCACCGCCGAGCAGCTGCAGGTAGGGGGAATGGGCCGCGGGGGCTGGGGGAGCTGCGTCTCCCCGGCCTCATCCTGAGCCCCTCTCTCACCTCTCCCCCAGGTCATGCAGGCACAGTTTGCTCAGGACAACAACCCCGACGCACAAACGCTTCAGAAACTTGCAGACATGACGGGGCTGAGTCGGAGAGTCATTCAGGTGAGGGGTGGGCAGGGATGCACAGAGTGTGAGCACCAGCAGCTGAGCAGTCCCAAGCAGGGCTGAGGGGGTGAGCCTAAAGGCTGATACTAGACAGGGCTGACAGTCCTGTAGCCTCTCACTCCTGCACATCAGCCCCGGGACATGCAGCATCCAGCAGCTTCGTGCTGCCTCCCCAGCGTGTCGGCTCCGCTGGCTCCCGTAGTGATGCCAGCACTATCCTTCCTCTGTCTCGCTCGTGGGTTTTCTATTTGTTTTTTCCCCTTATGATGCAATGGAAAAAAACCCCACAGCCCTAGCCATTCCCAATAAATGGCTGAGTGGGAAAGCTGCTGTTAACACATGATCCCGGAGCTCTGAGCTCTGCCCCGACAGCCTGCAGGGCAGTGCCGTCCCTGCCACGAGCAGGCAAAATTCATCAGCTTCGGGAAGTGTTGGGATCGAGAAGTTTAAGGAAAAAGGGGGTTTGCAGCCCCAGGGGACGTGGTAGCAGGAAAGTCCCGGCGCTTGTGCTGGAAGGGGAGGGGAAGTGATGCTGCAGGGACAGAGAAATGTCCCCTCTGCACTCACTGTCCCCACAGGCAGCTTTGCCGCTCAGTGACATTTATCCTCTTCACTTTAAGATTTTGCTAACTTACTTTCTGCATACACTAAAAACACGATGATTAAAGTAAATTTGGAGCTTTCATCCAGGATTGTTTTGCCAATGACACATTTAAGTTTCGTGTGTGAAAATCTGGCTCGAGCCTCTGTTACTGAGAGCCCTCACTTAGCTAAAGATCAAGCAGGCTGCACACCAGGTGATTTTTTTATGTGGATATTTTTTAAAGGCGCTTTGAACAGGAAACAATTTGTCAAATGCTTATGACTCTTTCCTTCTCTGGTCCAGTGTGCTCAGCCTTGGAGAGCTGATCCTTGCTCAGCTTTGGAGAAGAGTTTTACTCTGAGCTATCTTTTAAAATTTAAAGCATAAGAAAGAAATCACCTCTTTAGCATATAAAAAACCCCTTCCATGCATGTTTTAACTCTGGGATATTATTCCCTAACTATTCCTTCAATTAAAAGCAGTGGGATATGCTCAGTGATCTCATACCTGCTGCTCACACAGACTAGGGCTGTATCCCACCACAGTCCCCTCCTTTCTCAGCTTTAATGTTGTGTTGATGTGGGTTATTAATATTGTTCACATCATCCTAAAACTCATAACTTCTCCTAGTCTTAGCTTCTACTCAGTTTTGTCTCCTTTTGTTCCTCTTCTTGGCAACAGATGCCAACTGATCTCAGCTGTGCTTTTAGGTCAGGTGAGCTGGGGCTGTTGGTTAAAACCTAAATAAGACCTTGAAAGGTGCTCCCATCACTTACAGGGAGGCTGTGCAGGGCTAGAGCTTTATATCTGCAGGGATGAATGAACCTATGCTCTAGTGAGTGTAAAACAAAGCTATGGAAACTGGTGAAATGCTGGTGAGGTGCAGATTTCTCAATTTTATTCCTTTTTTTTTAAATACTTGGGAGAGTCACCCAACCAAGAATCTTGGGGAAGGAGCGTTTTTCAATTCAATTGTCTCTCAGCTGACACAGCGTTTGCTGCTTTTGTTTCAGGTTTGGTTTCAAAACTGCAGAGCTCGCCATAAAAAACACACCCCGCAGCACACGGTGCCGCCCTCGGGAGCTCCCCCGTCCCGGATCCCCTCCTCGCTCTCTGATGACATCCACTACTCGCCCTTCAGCAGCCCAGAGCGCGCCCGGATGGTGACGCTGCACGGATACATAGAGAGTAAGAGTGGCACTGCGGGGCTCGGGGTGGCAGGGCAGTGTGGAGCTCCTCGGCAGCAGCACAGTGCGCTGCCCAAAACCTCCTTGTGCTGCGGGTGCAGGGCTGGTCCATGTGCTGCTCCTCCTCATGTCTGATGAACAATCTGGGATTTTCTGGGGGGCTGTTTGTGAAAGCTC